GTCGGGGGGGGGTGGGGGGGGGGGGAACCAGAAATGGATATTGCCTTAATTTTAAGTCAGTCTGCTTCTTAATCTAAAAGTTCCATTTCCTGGCACTGAAGTCAATTAAAATTTGTGAGTCTTGTGTTTGCATACTTGAAAAAGGGGCTTAATGGAGGACAGAAAATATATAGAGCAGGGAAGTGCTGAGATATATGCCAAGATATGTAGGTAAAGGTGTGAAGGATAAGGGTGTGGGGGAAAAAAAAAAGGCAAACAGAAGACTGTGCTGAGCAATTACGAGCAGTTTTAAGGAACTGATGTGCTTCAGCAGAGCCAAAAGGATTAAGGCAGCTACAAAAGCTGGAGGGAGGGACATAGGAAGACTCACATCAGCAGTGTGTATTTTACTTAGCAGTAACAACTTGTATGGTTGTGTTTGACTAGCTCATCGCACTTAGCAAACTTCATAATGAATGAAGACGGGGAAAATTTAGCAGGTGCTTAAAACTGAATATTTTTTGCTTCTGGTTTGACATTGGAACACTTGCTCTTGAATAAAGAAAACCCCTTGGCTGTGTGTTCCACTGTGAAGTGCCTTCAGTTATGAAATATGACTTTAATCCAGGAAGAGGAAAGCCTAATTTAAGTAACTGATAAGCTATAATTAAACCTGGAATGGTTTTGTTCATCACAGGTGTGCTCTGCTTTTTCCATAAAGTCGTCACACTCCTTATTTAGAAATGGCAAATTGTATATTTCTTTCTGAACATGTATCTATTAGAGTTTTTTGACATGTTTCCTATGTCTTGATACAAATAACAACAAGAAATCCATTGTCAGTGTTTTAGAAAGCCGTTAGTTTTTTAGAACTAACTTTAAGAAGGCACATTCCAGTTTGAAACTAATTGAATAGTCTGAGAGTGATTATTGTAGCTAGAGACTGTGATGTATTGCTCAGCAGAGATTTAGGCCTAATAGAGCTGATCCTTCCATTCTTCTGCTTAGTCACAGCTTGGAAGAGAAATGCAATTTTTCTCTCTTTTTACGCTTGCAGTCAGCTTCTCTGTTTTGAATTAGTTGACTAGCTGACTGAATTAGTGGATCTCTGCAGGTACAGAAGGATTGCTGTAAAAAGAAAAATTTAGAAATCGGTTAAGTACATCAGCTGTAGTTTGGGTTTGTAGCCAAAGAATTTCCATAGATAAATTGATTTCTTTTTGTTTAAAATCTAAATGGCAATCCACATGACGGAAAAGAATGTATTTAATTTTCATTCTTTTAATGGTTGACTTGAAATCTTGGCGCGTGGCTTGTCATAACATCAGGTATTACTTTTAAAAGAAAGATATTTGATTTAAATATCCTGGGAGTTGTTTCTTAGACCATCACATGCACGTGCCTGCTCTGAATACAGTGCATGATAGGGGTGTATAGCTTTTTTTTTTTTCCCTCGGGGTGGGGGGGGCTGGTAGTTGTTTCATTAGTATGTGTCAGCCCAAAAGCATGTTTCCTGCTGCTGAGTAGGTGGCTGGAAGACCTGAGTGGTCTGAATTCCAGGGGTGATCTGGTCAGATTGCAGAATTTTGGGGTGGGTGATCCAGTTATTGGCTAGTTTGGGGTGCCTAAATCAGGATATAGGTTCTCTCTTCCAAGGTCAGCACAAACTGCCCAAAACTCTGGGCTATTTGCTGGGGTGGCTGAGCTACAGGGCATGATTTCACAGGGGAAATAATGAGATCTAGTGACTTGCTGAAAGGGGCAGATGGACTTCGAGCCTGGAGCTGTCCTTTGTCTCCTTGTGTCTACACGGGAGCTTGTCCGACCCCCTCAGAGATGAGGTTCATGTCATTAAGCCAGGAAAAAAATTAATCAAAATGCAAAGTGAAAAAGCTTTCCAACCTTTTTGCTAGCTGAACCAGCTAACAGGGCTCGAGGAGTAGCCAAGCCAGCCCAAGTGAAGAAATGGAACATCCCTGTTCAGGGGCAGCACATCATAACACGGAACTCCCCCTCCATCAGGTCAGTGAGAATTGCAGCTGTATTGCATTTCAGAGGATTACAAGAGGAAAAAAAACAAAAAACAATTAAGGATGATGATGGGAGGGTGGTGGAGGCTTTAAAAAGAGAAAAAACAATGCAGTGTGATCTGCAGGATGGAGTCAGCCATGTATTGGCTGGAGCCTGGTAGTGCTCTCCCAGCACCCAGGTCAAAGCTTCCCTCTAGGCTGATGCTGCTGCCCACAGGTGCTGTCAGATCATGGAATCACGGAATTGTCAGAGTTGGAAGGGACCTTCTAGAGATCCTCCAGTCCAACTCCCCTGCCAAAGCAGGGTTGCCCAGAGCACATCACTCAGGAGCATCCATTGGGGCTTGAAGATCTCCAGAGAAGGGGACTCCACACCCTCCCTGGGCAGCCTCTGCCAGGGCTCTGCCACCCTCACCCCAAAGAAGTTCTTCCTCACATTGGAGTGGAACTTCCCATGGTCCAGCTTGTGCCCGATGCCCCTCGTCCTGTCACTGGGAACCACTGAAAAGAGTCCAGCTCCATCCTCCCTCAACCCACCCTTTAGGTACTTGGAAGCATGAATAAGGTCTCCCCTCAGCCTTCTTTTCTCCAGGCTCAAGAGCCCCAGCTCTCTCAGCCTTTCCTCATCAGGGAGATGCTCCAATCCCTCTCTCATCTTTGTTGCCCTACACTGGACTCTCTCCAGCAGTTCCCTGTCTCTCTTGAACTGGGGAGCCCAGAACTGGAGGCAGGATTCCAGTTGTGGCCTCCCCAGTGCAGAGCAGAGGGGGAGAATGACCTCCCTCCACCTCCTGGCCACACTCTTCCCTACGCAGCCCAGGATCCCATTGGCCTCTTGGCCACAAGGGCACATTGCTGGCTCATGGAGAGTTTGCTATCCACCAGGACCCCCAGATCCTTCTCCTCAGAAGTGCTTTCCAGCAGGTCCATCCCTAACCTATACTGGTGTCTGGCATGTGTCTGATGATACAAGGGTGGCCTGGTAAGGCTCATCCCAGGCAGTGGCACGTGTGGTTTTCACGGTGTAAAGCCGATGTGGGGGCTGGATGAATTTTCCTGTGGCTCTTTCCCTGAGGTTTGGTGGAGTTTGGTGGAGGTGCTGAGCGTGCAGCGAGGTGCCAGGCTGCTCCATCAGGACGGACACGCGTTCCTCCTGCTGCTCTTCCTCACGGTCAGGAAGGCGTTGCTCACATCTCGCCGTGGTGACTCAGGGGGACGTTTGCGAGTCAGCAAGTGGAAGATCTTTGTAAAACAGTGGTGCTGGTGGTCCAGCATGGCTGGGAGCTCTGACCTTGACAGAAAGAAGCTTACAGTATGAGTGTAGCGTGTGCTAATTCATCCTTAAGGTATACTTAATGGAGTTGGCTTATGGTAGGTGAGCTGTTTCTAGGTGGTCTGCCAGGGGTTTTGTTTGTTTGCAGGGGTGGTGGTGGAGGAGGTGGCATCCCTGCGAGGAGGAGAGAGGGAACGCTGCCAGGAATTATATAGTGTCACGGTGCAGGGCGTCAGGCAAACGTGATGCAGTCGCTGCAAAGAATGTCCAAGGCGGCGTGCCTTGTGAACCTCATAGTTGGTTTCTGCTCCACAAAACGTTTCCCAGACATCTGGCTAGCAAATGCGGTGTTTCTCAGGATACAGCCCTCCTGCTCATCTCGACCAATTTTAAAATGAGTTCTTGTTCTTGCGTCCAAAATTAGGATTGTGTTCCACCTGAGCTGAAGCGTTATGAGGCAGTTCTCTTTTTTAATTGAGTTGTTCTGTTCCAGCGCAGTCCAAGACCTAATGTGAAAAGCAGCCACCCATTTCCTTCTTGCTTTGTTACTCTTCATCCACCAAAATATTGTAATGCTGGCTCAGTGTCCCTTCTGAAATAACTCTTGCAGATGGAACTCTTTTAATTGTATATTTTTCCTTTTTATTTGAGAAAGTAAATGCTACAAATGATCAAATCATTTAGTTCTTTTAAGCTGTTGTATAGTATGCTGAGGCTGCAGATATAATATATTTAAACAAAAAAAGCTAGCCAACCTGGAAGGTTTTGTACTGGCACAAAACAGGAATTATTCTTTCTCTGAGAACGATTGCAAGTGGCCCCAAGCCTTACTTTTTCCTTTGAAAGGGGAAGTCCAAATAGGATGCGATTTGAAAAAAAAAAAAAAAAAAAAAAGTTTGTAATCTCTGGTGACTAAACTTGCCCGGGCTTCTTTTCCACGCCTCTTCCACTCGCTTGACGTCATACTATTTTTGTCCCTTTCTAGCTCATTGACACAATTGCCTCAGAAATCGGAGAACTGAAACAGGAGATGGTACAGACAGATCTCACAGTGGAAGATGAATCTGCTGATTTGCGAAGGTGATTAAAATGTTTATTTTCCTGGTTCCTGGAGGTGTACTGTGACAGGAATGTTTTCATTGTGCTCTCTTCTTGGGTGGCTTCTCTCCTAGCGCTTCTCGTCCTGGTGACATAGAGGGTGTAGGTAATCTTGCTCTGGATTCAAGGAGTTTGCCTTTGTGTGGGTGGAGTGTCCAGAGATTCGGTTGCTCTATGTATTTGCCTTAATATCTTCTAAAAGCAACTGAACTTCACTTCGACTTCCACGTTACAAACCTTGGGTACTGATGAACGTCTCCAACAGGAAACTCCTGATGTTATTCCCATTGTCTATGGCAATGAGCTTTGCTTTCACGCTGGAAAAAACTGAAAATGTCCATTGCTTCAAGTGGCTCTGTGAACAGATTCAACACACAGTAACGTGATTTATTTATTTTTTTTCAGGTTAGGAAGTAAAATAGTAACTGTTACGAGCTGATGCTTTTGTGGGTTATGTGCTCACTTATGTATGTGAGTATCTTGCACTTTAAAAAAAGAAGTGATTGAGTCAGTGGGGGCATTTTCTTAACCTTAAAATGTTTTGAGATGCATTCTACAGTGCAGATAAAAGCTCTGGCTTTTTAAAATAGTTCATGCTGCCTAGATACGGACTGTGGAAATCTGTAATGTTGAACTTGTACCTTTTAAGTGGGCATAGTGGGACACCAGCGTTTGGGCTTTGCATGGCAGTTGTGCTTGATTGGCAACGTCTGTTAAATTGACAGCTGGAGGATATTTGATGTTTTAATCATTGGGTTAACAGGAGAACACGTTTTTATACTTATTTTTGAAATATTTTGTTGCAAGAGGAAAGGAACCAAGGCAGGCATTTCCTTTTATCTGACTGCACGAGTTGGGCCAGCTCTGGAGCTGTTGGGCTTTGTTCTTCAAGGCAGCGAGTTAACGAAGTGGATGATAGTATGTTAATTAGAATTACATCCATATATTTTAGCTTTTTTTCCTTGCTAAAAATACTTTTGAAATGTGCTAAAACTTACTACAATACGTATTTAAATTATTTAAATAAAACATTGAGCAGCACTTTTGTCACCCAAGTGACAAAGAACATAAGATATGTGAGCTAATTAAGGTCCTTGGCTATGCCCCTGGTTGCACGTTATTCAAGTTTTAAAGCTTTTGAAAGCACAGCTCTTTTACAGGGGTGGAAAGGATACTTTCTCCATTTCAGTGGATTCAGCTAATTAATTTCAATGATCATTAACTGATTTCCAGTTAAGAAAAAGCTTCTTGTATCTATGAATACACCATGCAGGAAGGACTAAGATCTACTCGTTCTAAAATCTTGATGGAAATCCTTAGCTGGAAACAGTCAATTAAATCTCCCAATTTTACAGATCTGGGAGACTTTTAACCGATTTCTTTTTTTCTTTTACAGATTTTTTTTTTCACTGAATTTGTTGATTTTGAATGAAAAATATATTTCTGTTAGAATATTAACATTAAAAAGTGAATAAAGTAATTTCCATGACTACTTAACTGAAATAATAGCCATCCAATACGAAAAGAAATTGATTCTTTTCTGTCACTTCTAAGATGATAAATGTAAAATACAAAATCTAAAGATATGAATTAAGGTCAATTTTTGCATGACTACATATTTCTGAACTGTGTGCTTCTATGTATGGAAGAAGTTGTATCAAAGTTGGTAAAAAAATGTATAAGTAGTTGTGCACTGATATCTTCTGTTTATGTAGAGCTACAGAGCAAGATGATAGTAGTTTCAACTAAAGTTTTTGGGAGTTCTTATTTAAACTCCACTTCCCACAAGGGTGTGTTTACTGTCGTAATTTCATTTCTTTGTAGTTAATTTAAAACTTCATAATTAATGTAGGTTGCCTTTCTTATTGTGTGTTCTGCTGTTCAGAAGTTTGGTATCTTGATGGGGGTTTGGGATCTGTATCTAGAGAAATATGAGCTAAAAAGGAATGTTTTATTTTTCTTGCTTGTTTGGTTTTTTTTTTTTTTTGCCCGGACGTATATCCACGTGCATTCAGGACAGTTTTAGAAAGGCAGCAGCCACAAGAGCTTCCAACTGTATTCAGAAACAGAAGTAGATGAAACCATGTGTCTGTGACTGGTGTGTTGTGGTGTGGGGGGGTGGGTTGGTTGGTTTTGTTGTTTTTTTTTCTGGTCACTTGGGTTTGTTTTTTTGTTTTTGGTTTGTTGTTTTTTTTTTTTCTGTGGTGACTTTTTCAGGTTGATAACTCCTCTCCAGTTATATTTTTGGGCTCGTCTCCCTTTTTTACTTTTATGGCCCAAGTAATATTGAGAATGGTTTGAGTAACTGGGCCCACGGCTTTGGGTTGTAAGCGTGTAAAAGCCAGGCCAAAAAAAAAAAAAAAAAGGCTTGTGAAAATGTGTATTAAGTGGGACACTCATATCATCAGTTTCAATATTCCACAGTTTTTGATGCCGGGACTTTTTTCCAGTGGAGACACGTATCTCAGTAACACAAATGAGTGGAGTTGTCAGAAAAGGGGTATAAATGGGATAAATTTCTGACCTCTGCTGTACTGGTGAGCTTTTGGGGGGGTAACAAGAGCTTCTGCATGCAGTAGCAGCCCAGGTCGTATAGGATGGGGGGAGGACACGTGGTGTGTCTGGTGGCAAACGGGTGGTCTTTTAGGAGCCCCTCGGTCTCCCTGGAACACCCTCAGACCCCTGCATGTCTGTTGTCTTTGTGGATGACGGAGAGGGGAAAAAGCTGTCCCTCTGCAGGGAAGGCTGTAAAGCCCCAGCCTTCCTGGAACGCTTGATTCAGGGGTCAGTCAGTGGGATCAGCTGCTGGTGGTGGCAGCTGCTGCAGCTTATTCCCTTCCTGCTTTGTTACCATGACAGAAACAATGGCAGAACTTTGCTCCCTCCCTCAGCTTTTGCACTGAACAGCACTCACGCTTGTCTTCTGCGTTTTTCCGTAGCAGCTATTGACTTAGCGTCATCTAATGCGTCTCGCACTGTGAATTGCTTCTGTTGCTAGGTAGGCAAGTATTTACAGAATCACAGAATCTTCATGGTTGGAAAGGACCTCTGAGATCACCAAGTCCAATCATACACACACATACATACATACAACAAGACCCTCAATCTCTGGCACTAGGGCATGCCCTGAAGTGCCACGTCTACACGGTTCTTAAACACCTCCAGGGATGGTGACTCCACCACCTCCCTGGGCAGGCTCTTCCAGTGCCTGACCACCCTCTCAGCAAAGTCGTTCTTCCCAATATCTCATCTAAACCTCCCCTGCCCCAACTTCAGACCATTTCCACTGCTCCTGGCATTATTCCCTTGGGAGGAGAAGAGGCCAACCCCCACCTCTCTACACCCTCCTGTCAGGGAGCTGTAGAAGGCAATGAGGTCTCCCCTCAGCCTCCTCTTCTCCAAACTAAACATGCCCAGTTCCCTCAGCCTCTCCTCGTAGGACTTGTTCTCCAGACCCCTCACCAACTTGGTGGCTCTCCTCTGGACACGCTCCAGCACCTCAATGTCCTTCTTGTAGTGAAGGGCCCAGAACTGAACCCAGCCCTCGAGGTGAGGACTCACCAGTGCCCAGTACAGAGGCACCATCACTGCCCTGCTCCTGCTGGCCACGCTGGTCCTGATCCAAGCCAGGATGCTGTTGGCCTTCTTGGCCACCTGGGCACACTGCTGGCTCATGTTCAGCCAGCTGTCCACCAACACCCCCAGGTCCTTTTCTTCTGGGCAGCTCCAGCCACTCTGCCCCCAGCCTGTAGCGTTGCCTGGGGTGGTTGTGACTGAAATGTAGGACCCGGCACTTGGCCTTATTGAACCTCATCCCATTGGCCTTGGCTCATCGATCCAGCCTGTCTGGGTCCCTCTGTAGAGCCTTCCGACCCGTCAAGAGAATCAACACTTCCACCATTCAACAACCTTTTCCCCAACAGCTTTGTCCTGTCCCTTCGGCTGTAACGGGATGGAGAAGAAAGTTGCAGTCCAGCTGCTGGGGAGTGCAGGTCATGCTCAGCAGGGGCTTCACACCCTCTTCCAGATGATGCTCGATATGACTCTACAGGCCAGGCATGTGTGATTAAGGCCTGCTATATTCCAGGATTTACAGAAATCCAGGCACTTCTGCAGTGAGGATTCATACGGGGTTGACTGTGGGGAGCCTTTGGTGGAACTGGAGTAAGCCTCACACTCATCTGCAATTTTAGAAAGATTCACTTTACCTGCCTATCACCATTCTTTGTCCTTTCCTTTGAAACAAGAGGAATGTTCCTTCCTGCTGCGGAATGGAGGAGTGGGAGAGCAATGAATCTTGTGTTTTGCAAACCTTTGCACCGTGGCAAAGGTGTGTTAAGTGCTGGGGAGATGCTGAGCATCCTACTGCCATGGGCAAAGAGCAGACCACCTCTTTTTTTCTGTCTTCCCTCCTCCCCCTGGGTAACATGGTCCTGATGTGCAGGTACTCAAAAAACAGAGGCCAATCCAGGCCAAAAATGGAGTGAGGAAATGTGGACGTATTCAAGTGCAAGTTAAAGTCCATATCTTCATTATAGTATCAAACCTGGCCTCTCACTGTGACCCTCCTCCTGGCTAGCGAGTGCAACTGGGTTGATAAGCTAAACCCAAGCTTGCTTTTTCCTTTGGCCTGATAACCAGTCTTCTCCATAGTGTGGGAGCAGACTGAATCCCTTAAGTGCTCGTGCTCACCTACAACTTCCTACAACTCCTCTCGTGCCTCAGAAGAGTGGGTGAGCTCTTCCATAGAGAGGGGTGTGCATACGTTTGTGTAAATCCTACAGCAGCTGGTTTAGTTTAATTCAACACAGGAAACCCATGGAAGAGCGTTGGTGGTCCTGATAGGATGTGCAGGCAAACTGGATGCACCTTCACTGTGTCCATAATCCCAAAGAGAGAAAAGTCCATTCCTCAGGACAGTGTTTGTCCATGCAGGAGGTTGGCAGTAGTTTCAGAGAGCGGGTGTGCTCATTGTCCCGAGTCTCACCAAAAAATGGGAGAAACATTAGAAGCTTAGGCTTTACAAGGTTCTAGAGCAAGGGGAATAGGTAGGGTTCAAGAGACCAAAAGAAAATTGCTGTGGTGAGTGGGAGGGCAGGAGCATTTGCTTTACAGATACATGGTGGAGGTATATGTTACAGCCCTGGGGGTATGAGGGAGAGGATTATCCTGGTTACAGGCTTCAACCTGTTCCTTGTCCTTTATACCGTGAGCTAAGTCTAATCAGGATGCAGCAGAGCATTGTTTATCTTGGCAGATACCTCTGTTTGCTTCCCACAGGCCTAGGGGTTTTCTCAAGTCAAAGGAAACCTGCATGAATCATGTCTTTTCTTGAACTCATTGTGAGTTGCTTTTGAAACTCCTCTCCCACTGGAGAGGAACCAGTGTAGTACCCCTGCATTAAAGCAGACCATCCGTGGAGGTTGATTTGTATTTCAATTTTGAGTTTAATGTGACCCAGGCAGGTTGCCTTTTAGTGGGAGTCACTGTAAAAAATGAAAGAAAAAAGAAAAAAGGCAAAAAAAAAAA